ACGGAAATGCCATGGCCAACGGAGAAAATGGGGGAGAGAACGGCTCGCATTTCGAAACCGTCGCCCACGATCTCCCTCTAGTTGCTTACATGTGGGTCCCGTGCTGGTTCGGATAAGGACAACTTGCCCACGACCGCGCGATGGGAGGCATCAGAGCAAGCGGCACCTTGCGCTCGCGCGAGGCGATCGCAACGCGATCGTGCGGTCACGAGTCGGCCGCTCATTCTCTCGAAAAGGTGTGTGTGCACTCTTAAGATTTTAGGCAGCGATATTACCTTCGGTTGGCTTGTAAAATAACTACTTTAACGTATGCGACTTGTGTTCGTTTTATTAATTTAAAGCAGTACGTGGCTTGCGCCTTTCTTTAAACAAAATAAGCGTTCTTGGACAGTGGTCTTCTCCCACTAAATGCGCATTGCCGAAAATCGTAAAATAAATCCAAGAATAAATATGAGCAATAGGATTTGAACCCTGATGGGCTGGGATACCACAGTCCCTCTAAACATCCAACCACAGGTTGGTTCACCTCTGCATATTAAGTTTATGTAAAGTCAAACTTTATATACTTCAACAAGTTTATAAAAAAAATATTAACATATACACCATCAAATTAAAACCATTGTATTCATCGTTGTATATATTTTCACATCATGTAAATTTGGTCCTATAAATGTTTATTGTTTTTTATAAACTTAGTCAAGTTCTATAAAGTTCGACTTCAGTTAAAGATAATGTGGGAGTAAGTAAAAATAGAGAGAGTATATCACTACCACATACGTCTTTATAGTCAGCGGGTCTGTCTTCTCTCACTGAACATAGATCATCAAAAGATCTAAAATAAATTCAAAAAAATGCGACTACCAATACCAAGTCTAAGACTTGAACGAGTGGTTCCACCACAAGGAACCTAATCATCTGAATTACGCTTAGTTTGCCTTGTGTTTCGGATTAATTAAAGGGAAATTCTCTATATCAATAATCTGATTCCACACTAGCGTCAAACCTCTCTACAACCATCAGAATTTGAGGTTTACTTCAGTGGCCTAAAGATGGGCTATATAAGCTATATAATTCGTCGCATCCACACACATAAACGAGCAGCCATGACCTAGCTAGGGCTACCGTTGCAGCAACCGATCCAACGCATGCACATTAATCCAATCTTGGGTGTCTCCACGGTCGACGTCATCCGCTCTCTCCGACAGGCTCATCATATGTCCGCCTTCGCCTCTATCGATCCGTTGAGAATAATCAACCGGACAAACACAAGCACGGCACCAAGATTTGTTAAGAGGTTCATCAACATGACTACATCTATATCCATGAACATGTCTACAAACACTTTTCCTCACCTACTAAATCAACATACTATAACCTTCAATGGGTCCGCAGTGGCCTTCACACAGCGGGTCGGCCACCGCGCGGCATCTGGACCATTTCTGTCGTGATCTCTATCTAGCCTACTATCTCATTCTCATGTTTAGTCCATTTGGTTGCCCCTCGGTGCCTTCAGATAATAGACCCGGCTTACATGTGTGTGACTAAAAAAAACGCCTCATGTGTCCTGTCATCGCCTCCTTTAGCAACCACAACAAACGAAGCCCGCAAAGTAAAAAAAAAACGAAGTCATTCTTGCATTCTGTCATGATCTTCATCATGCTTATAAAGTTGGTCAAACTTTACAATACTTGACTTCAGACAAATCTTATATGTGAACTAAAAATGACCGGAGGGAGTACTAATAACCAACTCAGACTAGCCACACAGAAATAGGATCGACCGATCAAATCCATCTCACCATCCCGGCGTGACACCTGTGACATTTCCCATTTGTCTATGTAAATCCAAGGCGCGGCACATGATCCTCTCCCGTCATGCCCGTGATCCCGTCCGCCGCAGCACGCAACCCATCGCCACCATTATTTTTATTCCCTTCTTCTATAAGCATCTACTCTCAGAAATCCCAGAGATTAGATTAGCGAACTCGGGGGGCCGTGAGCACACTCCCGCTCCCGCACTTCTCTCTCTGCCCGCGACTGGGCCGCGTCGACTCTTCCCGCTCGCCAAACCACGATCCGAGAACGGCGCGCGCCATGGCGGACAACAGGTCGGCGGCGGCGGCGGCGGTGGGGCCGCTGCTGCTGCCGCGGAAGAAGTCGGCGGCGGCGCAGTACACCCGGAGCGCGTCGCACGCGGGGGACGAGCTGCGCAGCTTCCGGGCCTGCCTCCGCTGGATGTGCATCGACCACACGGACGGGCCGCGCTCCGCGGGCTCCTGGGCGGTCTTCTTCCTGCTCGCCGTCGCCGCGCCGGCCGCGGTCACCCTGGCCCTCCCGGCCTCGGCGCCGCCGCGGCCGCTGGACGGGCAGGTGCAGGTGTCCCTCACCCTGGCCGCCACGCTCGCCTTCCTCTCCCTCTGCTCGCTGCTCCGGGTCGGCCTCCGCCGCCTGCTCTGCATCGACCGCCTCCGCCACGACTCGGACGAGGTGCGCGCCGGCTACACCGCGCAGCTCAACCGCTCCTTCCGCGTCCTCGCCTGCTTCCTCGCGCCCTGCTCCCTCGCCGACGCCGCCTACAAGGTCTACTGGTACTGGGCCGCCGCGCCCTTCCGCTCGCCCTGGTGGAACGCCGCCGCATGCGCGCTCGAGGCCGCCTCCTGGGTCTACCGCACCGCCGTCTTCTTCATGATCTGCGTGCTCTTCCGGGTCATCTGCTACCTGCAGGTGCTGCGCATGGTCGGCTTCGCAAGGGAGTTCGGCAGGTTCGCCGACGTCGCCGTCGTGCTGGAGCACCACCGCCGGATCAGGGACCAGCTCCGACGGATCAGCCACCGGTACCGGCGCTTCATAATCTTCTGCCTCGTGCTCGTCACCGCCAGCCAGTTCTCCGCCCTGCTCGCCACCACCAGGCCACATGCGCGGATCAATATCGCCACCGCCGGCGAGCTCGCGGTGAGTACTACTACTACTATAGTATATTGCATTGTAGACAGAGATCAAGTATTTCTAACGATCCATGATGAACTTTCACCACGTAATTCTGTAATTTCAGTAGACAAATTTCCATCGAGTCAGACAAAATAAAAAATGTCTCCAGCTAAGCATGGGTGTAGCAATCAAGTTCGGATAACAATTATGTGGTGTTCGAAATGAAGAAACTCGTGGTTGTAGCTAGCATATCATGTTCATGTCATACACAAGATTCTGTCATCAAAAGCAAGCAGTATCCCACCGAGTATCCGTGAAACATAAATATGCTGGCCGGTAGATATGGATAGGATATACTCACTCTAGTCTTTTTTAGTGTGCATATAAGTTTTATCCAGAGTCAAAATATTATTACGTCCAAATTAGTTGGACATGTTCATTGGAAAAAAAACAGGCCCCCGTGTCGCTCCGCACGAGCGACACGGGGGGCGACCCAAGCCTCCGCCGAAAGTGCTTCCTCCGTCGTCTCCCCCCTCGCCGCCGCCGGGATGTGCCGCAGGGCAAAGCCCGTGTGGCAGCGGCGGCGACGGGGCTTCTTCTCTAGGAGCGGGCGGCCCGCGGCTGCCTCGTGCGGCGCCGGCGCATGGTCGTGGCAAGCTCGACGTCGGCGGGCTGGAGCTCCTCTCCTTCGGCGGGGGCGGCGGATCCAGGGCCCTCGTGCCCGGACCTGGTGGTGCGCATGCGGGACCTGGCATTGTGGGGCGGTGGCTCGTGCTTCAGCCGATCTAGTCTGGCACGACATGGGCATGGCAGGTATGGGCATGACCTGGTGGTGCTCTGGCGAGGATATGCGGCCAGAGGGGAGGTGCGGCAGTGGCCAGGTCGCAGTGCGTCTGTGTGGGGAGGGCCGACATAAGGTGTCCAGCGGCATGGTTCTGCCGTCGTGAGGTTGCGCATCGGCGTGGTCGGTGGCTGCTGCTCGGGTAGCGCGGCAGACCAGGGAGGAGACAACACAGTTTTGTTGTGCTGGGCGCGCTGCTGCACAAGGGGCTCGAGCGCCGTGGTTCTGGCGTCGAGCGGAGGCCCAGGTTGGCAGAGAAGGGCGCCTCCGGCTATGGATGCGGCACATCTGGTCTCCAGAGGGCGTGGTGGCGTGCGTGGGGCGTGTCGGTGCACCTGAGGCTTGGCCACGACTTGGAACCATGGTGGTTCTTGGCCTGGGGTAGCGCTCTTTTGTCCCCTGTCGGCATGGTGCTCGGCAGGGCACAGTGACTCGCACTGCGTCCAGTGGCTCTGTGTCCAGACGACTGTGGATGGATCTGGCCCCTTTGATGGAGGTTTGGCCGCCGGTGGTCTCCGCGCGGTGCGGTTGGCTGCGGCGGATCTCGATGCTTCTTTGTCGATGGGCGGCTTCGATGGTGTGGCAGTGTTTGGTGGGCTTGCTGGCGCCGGTGCAGGATGATGTGCGGCCGAGGTGGTGAGGGAGCTTGGGTGAAAACCCCGTCTCGGCTTTGTGTTATGACCAGCGATGGCGGCGGTTGCGACCATCGTTAACCTTCTTGGAGGCATTGTTGCTTTCCTTCCACACCCCTTTTGCATGGATCCGGCCATCACGGCATCTCCAGGGGAAACCCTTAATCTTGCGTGATCGGGCGATGGCGGCGCGTTAGTGTCGTTTTCCCTCTTGGGGGCTTCGTCTCAGAGCTTGGCATCGGCGAATGGGACCGGTGGATGGCGGCGGTTGTGGCGTCCAGACTTCTGTGGCAAAGATGATGGTGGAGCGATGTCGGCAACACGGCAATGGTTGAGGTGGTCGGCTCTTCTCCAGCGTGTCCGCGGGATTGCCTCGGTTTGTTTGTTGTGTGAAGTCGAAGCTCCAGCGGCGGGGCCTCTATGGTATACGATGACTGGCTGCAGGTGGTCTGTTCGGCGATCTTCCATAGCGCCAGCCGTGCCTGGTTTTGTCCTTCTTAGTTCTCCATGCGCTGTCTGGTCGCAGGTGGTTGAATTTTGGCATGGATCTTCATTCATCTTCATGCGGCCTCTACAGTGTGTGTTGTGTCGACGATCGCCTATGGCGAAGTTGGAGTCATTTGCTCAGGGTTTAGGGATGACGCTCAAGAGGAGGAGGAGTGATGACGATGATGCCCGAGTGTTGTCTGGGTGAGGCCCTCATTGGAGTGGTGTGTGCAGGGTATCTTGTGTGTGTCGCTCGGCGGTTGTGATAGTTTTCACCCGGTTTTTCATATTTAACATGACAATCTGGTTTTCGCTCGGTTTTTCCTAATTAAATGAGCAATTATTTTCTTCTTAATAAATGCAGGATAACTCTTATTATAAAAAAGAGTCAAAGTATCTCTATTTTGACCAAACATATAAAAAACAGTTTCAGCATTCACAATGCATATATTTGGTATTGTGGATGTTGATATTTTGTAATATAAATTTAATCAAACTTTGTAATGTTTGAATTGACACAAATCTAATACCCGAAGTAAAAAAGACCGGATGGAGTATATATATAGACATGATCGAAAAGACATGATCGAAAATGGGGATAATTAGAATCTGTCTAATTACAGTCTCATTTGATTAGCATCTGTCGAATTTCATTTGTTGGATATATTTGTGGGGTGTCATCCGTGAACCTAACAGCAAAATCCCTGCATTGGCCACCACGATGCCAGCAGAGCACTGACCAAGATCACCATTGTTGTCTGCATGCAGCTCTGCTCAGTGAGCCTCGTGGCGGGTCTGCTGGTCTGCCTCCACAGCGCGGCCAAGATCACGCACAAGACGCAGGCCATCACGAGCGTGGCGGCGGCGTGGCACGCGGACGCCACCATCCACGCCTTCGACAACGACCTGGAGGACCCCGACCCCGCCCTGCCCGCCGCCACCGGCTACCTGGCGCCGGCCAACGCCTACCGGGTGGCCCCCGGCGAGGAGTCCGACGGCTACGGGGACGCCGCCGACGACGACGACAACATGAGCGAGGGCTCCATCGACGACTCCAAGCTCGTGCCCTTCCAGGTCAACAACATGTGCTTCCAGAAGAGGCAGGCACTGGGTAAGCGCACATCAACGCCAGCTTAGCTTCTTGTTGGTTGCTAATGGCGGCCGGTGTTTACTTTTGCAGTGAACTACCTGGAGAACAACCGGGCGGGGATCACGGTGTACGGCTTCGTGGTCGACCGGACATGGCTGCACGCGCTCTTCATGATCGAGTTCTCGCTCGTCATGTGGCTGCTGGGGAAGACGGTCGGCATATCTTGAAGGCCCTTTGATGCTGCCGCCGATTCTCCCGACGTCTGATGCAGGGGCTCACCTCGGATGTACAAATCGAGCGCACATAGTTCACTACTTCAGTATTTCGTCACGCATAAAACACACACATCGTTCTTTTTTGTCCTCCTAAGTATTAGTTGTGCAGTGTTTTTTTTTTCATTTTTTGCGAAAATTAGTTGTGCAGTGTTTTTTTTTTCATTTTTTGCGAAAATTAGTTGTGCAGTGTTAAGAAAAAGTATTAGCCGTGCACGTTGATTTGATGAAAAGAATATATATGTGGCAATATTAGATGCAAAGGGTTTGATTTGATGAAATGATGTTGAGTAACATTAGTCCTCAACTTCTGCAGGTCGATCTATGAAAAGTATTTTTTTGAACCATATCAGGGTACACGGATATGTCTTTGGCGTAATTTCTTTACATGAAAAAAATATAACCTTTATTACTTCCGATTCACCATTATATCATCCACTGGATTTACTACAGTACTACTCCCTCCATTCCAAATTACTCGTCGTGGTTTTAGTTCAAAATTTGAACTAAAACCACGACGAGTAATTTGGAACGTTGTGTGTGCTTTGCTGCAAGTTGCTGTTATTGGGTTTCTTAAAAAAATTACTCACTCTGTTTCAAAATTTAAGGTGTATTACTTTAAAAAAATCAACCATTTTAAGTTTGAACAAATTTGTAGATAAATATATCAAGCCATAATATCAAATCGGTATGATTAGATTCATCATGGAATGAATTTCCATACTTTTTTTTTATCTTGTGGATGTCGATATCTTTTGCTCTGAACTTTGTCAAAGTTAAAGAAATTTGATTTATCAAAAAACTAATGCCCCTTATATTTTGAAACTAATGGAATATTTAGTTTGGACGGTGGGGGTAGATGATGGAGTGTGTTTTATTTTTATTTATAATGCGTGATTTGATGGGCTTTTCTCGAGTGGTCATGTGTTATCCGCTAACTAAAGTATATTTATGTGAGGAAATTTTTGCATCGGTGGCTGCATGTAGTATATTGGTACTACAGTATCACATGGTGACACTTCTTTTTTCCAGGTGATGGGAGGGTGCTCGAAATTGATGTGTTTTTGTAGGCCAATTGCTGCTAATTGATTTGAAAATCGTTGGCCCGGTCAAAATCGTATACCGAATCCAAAATTGAATACCTCAATTAGCGCATCCCGGCCCCCGCGCCGCTCCTTCCCCGGGGCGACACGGGCGGCGCCCCCCCGTCCCCCGCAGCCTCCCCCTCTCCCCGGCTCTCTCTTCCTCGCCGTCGACGGTGGCCTCCGGCAGGCAAAGCCTGTGCGGAGCCGGCGGCGGCGGGGCGCGCTCTCTGGCTGCTGTCGCTCGGGAGAAGGGGATCTCGCGGGCGATAGGCAGCTGTCCGGCGCTCGGCCTCGGGGCGGCGTCCTGGCGCGCGGCGGAGGTGGTCTTCGGCGCACGGCGAGGCGTTTGGTCGTGGCCGCGGGCGCGCGGTCGCGGTCATTCGCGCTTGGGCGGTCCCGATTGATGGGTAACGTAGCAATAATTCAAAATTTTCCTACGTGTCACCAAGATCAATCTATGGAGTCATCTAGCAACGAGGGAGGAGTGGATCTACATACCCTTGTAGATCGCGCGCGGACGCGTTCAAGGGAACGGGGTTGATGGAGTCGTACTCGTCGTGATCCAAATCATCGATGATCCTAGCGCCGAACGGACGGCACCTCCGCGTTCAACACACGCACGGAGTAGCAACGTCTCCTCCTTCTTGATCCAGCAAGGGGGAAGGAGAGGGTGATGGAGATCCAGCAGCACGACGGCGTGGTGGTGGAAGTAGCGGGATTCCAATAGGGCTTCGCCAAGCGCTGCGGGAGGAGGGAGATGTGTCATGGGAGGGAGAGGGAGGCGTCAGGGCTTAGGTTGGGCTGCCCTCCCTTCCCCCCACTATATATAGGGCCAAGGGAGAGGGGGGAGGCGCAGCCTTGGCTCTTCCTCCAAGGAAGGGTGCGGCCAGGGAGGAGTCCCTCCTCCCCAAGGCACCTAGGAGGTGCCTTCCCCCTTTAGGACTCTTCCTTTCCCTCATCTCTTGGCGCATGGGCCTCTTGGGGCTGGTTCCCTTGGCCCATACAGGCCAAGGCGCACCCCCTACAGCCCATGTGGCCCCCCGGGGCAGGTGGCCTCACCCGGTGGACCCCCGGGACCCTTCCGGTGGTCCTGGTACAATACCGGTGACCCCGAAACTTGTCCCGATAGCCGAAATATCACTTCCTATATATAATTCTTTACCTCCGGACCATTCCGGAACTCCTCGTGACGTCCGGGATCTCATCCGGGACTCCGAACAACTTTCGGGTTACCGCATACTTATATCTCTATAACCCTAGTGTCACCGAACCTTAAGTGTGTAGACCCTACGGGTTCGGGAGACACGTAGACATGACCGAGATGACTCTCCGGCCAATAACCAATAGCGGGATCTGGATACCCATGTTGGCTCCCACATGTTCCACGATGATCTCATCGGATGAACCACGATGTCAAGGACTTAATCAATCCCGTATACAATTCCCTTTGTCTAGTGGTACGATACTTGCCCGAGATTCGATCGTCGGTATCCCGATACCTTGTTCAATCTCGTTACCGGCAAGTCTCTTTACTCGTTTCGTAACACATCATCCCGTGATCAACTCCTTGATCACATTGTGCACATTATGATGATGTCCTACCGAGTGGGCCCAGAGATACCTCTCCGTTTACACGGAGTGACAAATCCCAGTCTCGATTCGTGCCAACCCAACAAACACTTTCGGAGATACCTGTAGTGTACCTTTATAGCCACCCAATTACGTTGTGACATTTGGCACACCAAAGCACTCCTACGGTATCCGGGAGTTGCACAATCTCATGGTCTAAGGAAATGATACTTGACATTAGAAAGCTTTAGCATACGAACTACATGATCTTTGTGCTAGGCTTAGGATTGGGTCTTTGTCCATCACATCATTCTCCTAATGATGTGATCCCGTTATCAACGACATCCAATGTCATGGTCAGGAAACCGTAACCATCTATTGATCAACGAGCTAGTCAACTAGAGGCTTACTAGGGACATGGTGTTGTCTATGTATCCACACATGTATCTGAGTTTCCTATCAATACAATTCTAGCAAGGATAATAAACGATTATCATGAACAAGGAAATATAATAATAACTGATTTATTATTGCCTCTAGGGCATATTTCCAACACCGATCTAGGACCTCGCGGGCGGCGGCTGGCGCGGACGGGCGGCCGGCGTTCGGCTTGGCGTCGGCTGCGGCCAGAGGTTGGGGCGCCGGGGCGGCGGCCTCGGCCGGGCTCCGGCCGTGACCTGGGAGTGGACGGCGCACGTGGTTGGGCCGGCTCTCGGCTCTGGATGTGAGCGCGGGGTGCAGATCCTTGGCCGGGCGCGGCGGTGACTGCGCGCGGCGGGCGCGGTGGCTGGTGGGGCGCGACGGGCGTGGCATCTCCGGAGCTCGAGGTATGCTGCGGTGCAGGGCCTGCTCGTCTACCATGCTGCTTCGCTGGAGCTGCTCCGATCTGGATCTGGCCTTGGTGGTTCTGATCTTGCTGCTGCTCCTTGCGATGCGATGGTTGCTGCGGTGGTGGTGGTCACTATGGTGTTGCGGTGGTGGACGGCGGCTACGGCCAGGGGGTGGTGTGTGCCTGGGCGCGGTGGATCGTGGGATCCCGTGGCTAGGGTGAGGTCAGCCTCAGCAGGGGTGGTGATTGGTGGGCGGCGGTCGGTGGGGGTGGTGCTCTCCGGGAGAAATTCTTGCTCCGATCTTCATCGGAGCCGGCGACGACGGCGCCCGCAGGTGTCGTGATCTTTCTTGGAAGCGTCGCCGTGGAGGTTCTCCTCCCCACGGCTTTGGCTCCGGAGGGAAATCTCAGATCCGCTGGATCGGGCGATGGAGGCGTCTTCGCGTCTTTCTCCTCCTTGGGGGCATCGTCTCGGAGCCGGCTACGACCGAGAGACTAGTGGATTGCGGCATCTTCGCCATGGATGGTGGCCTCTTCGCCGCGTGGTTTGCTGAGGCGGGGCACTGGTTTCTGGTTGGCAACGATGATGGCGTCGAGAGGAGCTCGGGTCGCGGCTTGGACTTCGGTAGTCGGTTCTTCCCGGCGTGTCCAAGGTGCTCTTCCGGTTTGCGGAGGGCACGGTCGGTGCAAGTCCTGCATATCTTCCTTGTGAGGCCCGCCATCAACGTCGGAGCTGTCGGTTGCTTGCGCGTGTGGCCATTTGGTGGCATGTGCCGTCGGGGTTGTGTCCCATGTCGGTGGCCAGGATGGCCGGTGGTGCCCATGTCATATGGGTTGGGTTGTATCGGTTTTAGCCCGGTTTTTCATCAATTAACCGGGCAATTCTCTTCTTCTTAATCAATGAAAATGGCAAATATTTTGCCTCGTTTCAAAAAAAAAGAATACCTCAACTGCATGAAAGAGCTTCAAAATTAAGGAATATAGAGAATTAAAAGAATTGAATGGGACAGCTCCTTGAGAAATTGTTGACTCGGTCAAAATCAGGCGTCCGAACTCTAAATTGAACACCTCAATTAATTGTGAAGCCTTAAAACTTAGGAAACAAAGTGTATAGTATAAATTTTTTGAATGGAAGAGCTTTAATAAATTGTTGACCTGGTCAAAATGAGGTGACCCAATTTCAATTGAAGAGCTCAATTGAGTGTGAGGTCTTTAAACCTAAGAAGCTTAGTGTTGTAGAGGATATAATAAGGAGGATCATCCAACTAAAGTAGAAGGTTGATCAAAGCAGGACTCCCGACACACACGAGGACTAACCACCTAATACCTGGCATACTTGAATGGGACGCCGGCGTAGTTCGGGCGTGCCCAAGGAGGATGGCGGCGAGGCAGTTCGGCCTTCTGTGTCGCCGTGAGGCGGGCCTGACCTCCCGTCGATGCAGGGTGGTTCCGCGGCAGAACTCCTCTTTGCGTGGCGGCAACATCGCTCTCCGGCCATGTCTCCGTGATTGATATGCCTCTGACAAACTATACCATGCCTTTGTGAGCGGTTAAAGTTTGTTTCTATTTGCCTATCCGGCGATGACATGACACACAAAGGGACCCTCCCGGTGCTTGGCTAACCCTAACTGCTCGCAGAGCCGTGGTATATTTGTCAGAGACATATCAATCACGTTGGGAGTTTTGTTAAAGCGCAAAACGTGACAGGTGCAACTCATGTTCACTGGAATACCGACGTGTTTTTGGCAAGATTCTTTTAGACCATAATGGAAATAATATAGGTGGTAACATCACATTTATCTAGATAAAATAAATGATGTGGCATATAATCAATAAAGAAAAAGAGGCATACGATAACATAGATAGTTAGTGTAACATTATACATATCAAAAAAAGATGAATCTACAACCTAATAAATGAAATGATGCATGACACAACACATATGTTACTATCCATTGTGAAGGTAGTAATATAAACTAGTAACATGTGTATGTTACTACTCTAAGTTAGTTCCCACTGTGACTACTCTAGAGAACTTCCGAGTCCCGAGTTGGCGCACGATGGTCGTCGCCAAAATTGGAAATAGTGAAGTGCGTTTTTTTGTTTCTTTTTTTCAGAAAAGAAAGAAAGAGGAGAGGTGCACTTTCTGGGCCTTTCCATTCGATATCGTAATGGCCCAAGAAAAGAGAGCGTTTGGATCTCCGCACTTCGAAAACCCCAGGTCCGTCTCCCCGGTCTCCACCGCCGTCGTACCGGCCTCTGCCTCTCCTCCCGCCGGCCGCCGCGCGCCCGCGTCCGGGCATCCTGTTTGCGCGTGGGCCTCGCTCCGTGGCTGATTCGCCGCCTTCTACCGCCGCACGAACCTCAGGCGCCCTCCTCCAATCGCGCTTGTTGCGGACGATGGGATGGGCATGGGCAGCCCTCCGGTCCGGAGCTCCAAGGTGGCGCGCCCAAAATTCATCGTCCTCGTCCGGCCGGGCCGGCTCGATCGGCCTCATCATTCGGTGGCGGCCATATTCGACCGCTCCCAGTCCCAGCCACGGCGGGGAGGAGGATGGGGATGAGGCCAGGCAAGAGATGCTGAACAGATGGGCACACCGCGCCGCACAGACAACTTTCAGGGACTACCTCCATGCCAAGCGCGGCTTGTGCCTCACTGACGCCAAGCATATCAGCGAGCGATCGCCCGTCTTCCTCAGCGAGCTGCTGGAGAAGGTGAACAAGGCGGTGATGAAGGCTGCTGATCAGGGTGGGGAGGGGGCGAGATTCAGGTCGAAAGTGAAGAAGAGGGTCAGCAGGGCGCTGGTGCGATTGCTCCACCGGCGCCCTGTCAACGAGTTCAGGCCCTTCTTTGAGAGCATCGGCATCAAGCCGAGCGAGTGCGATTCCCTCTTGCCGCAGGATCTCACATTCCTCATGGATGCCGGGGTGCTGCTCGAGAGCTACCGTGCACTATGCAGTTATGGCATTGCGCATGACAAGATTGGAAAGATATACCAGAAGGCGGCGGAGGTGTTTAGTCTTGGCCAGGGCGTTCTTGAGTCTAAGCTCGAGGCCCTTGAGGGTCTAGGCTTCAGTAAGGCCAGTGTTACCAAAATAGTGATCTCTACTCCTACCGTATTGGTTCATGACCCGGCTGTGGAACTGAAGACGATCTTGCAGTGGCTAGACGACATTGGGATTCAGCGAGACTGGATCGGCCAGTTCTTCACTGAATATCAGTCCTATAATTGGCAAAAGATCGTCGAAGCTCTTCAGTTCTTGAGTGATTTGGGGTTCACCAAGGATGATATTGGTAAAGCGGTGAGGAATCATCCAGACTAGTAGAATGCCCGTGCGTTGCCACGGGCATTCCCATTTTGTTCTGATTGCATATATATACATGTATGGCTGTATAAAACTCTATGAATTTTTGGCCTCTTGCAACGACATCGCCTCGATACCCTTTTAATGTATTACTCTTGTCCATCTCCATCCCTCTCATCTGCAAAACTAAAAATATATAGAAATACGTGCAAGAGATATACAAAGAACAATTATTTGTATGCATCTCTTCCCATTTTGTAAAACTCAACAAGTTTTCAGTCCAGTCCATCATAAAGCTTTGTCAATCGAAATTTTCAAAGCATCATCTGAAGGCATGAAGTTTCATCTCTAATCTAAAGTCAACAATAAACACATTAAAAAAAAGCTCCATATACAATAGGTCGGTTGCTAAATGCGAGCACGTGACCGTTTTAGTCGGGAGTGAGTGGCATTGTGCTTTTTAGTTGAGTGAGTCGCATCTCAATCCTTGTTAGAAATGACTTTGTTAGGGTATGTGATATTTTGCACTAATACAAAAAAGTATGTGACATTTCTCTCATAGCAAAGAAGTGCTTCTCCCTATAAAAAATGCAAACATCTAATCCTTTTATTCTTATCTTCAAAAAAGCAATTCACTCTCTCGCTCTATCATCACACTACAAAACACTCTCGCTCTATCATCACATTACAAAACACTCTCACTCACTTGTCATTCCCCCGGCTTGCTCTCCTCGCTATGGCGTCGCCGCCGCCAGTGTTGTATTCCCTCGATACCACGACATTCGGCATGTCCCTTCTTCTCACCATAGTCTCCCCCCCCCCACACACACAGTGTCGCTCGCCTCCTCCTATGTGTCCAAAGCCGATTCCCGATGCCAAGGAATGCACACTGTCGTAGCAGAGGGCGACCACCACATTGTGTTCTTACGTCCATGGTATACGAAATGATATATATCATGTGATCCTTTCGCCTCTTTTTCTGATTCCTTATAACAATATGGCAAGATTTTTTTTTAGTTTTCAAAAGTATTGTTGGCATTTTTTGTTGATTGCTAATATCTTACTTAGAAGGATGCAGTTCCAGTCTCAAGATAGATAATATCTTATTTAGAAGGATGCTTCCATTTCTTGCTTACTAATAGACAAAGCAGCGGTTGGTGGAGGTGTGGGGTCGAGTGTGGATCTGCGGTGCTTCCCTCGCTGCGAGCCATCGCCTCACCGCCTCCTTTGTCCATGCCTTTGTCCAGTACCTTTGACATTGACGACCACGGTGACGAAAAAGGATGATGAGGCCGGCGGAGTTGAGTCCTGCGAAGCAAGATCGGCCTCTAGTTATGCAGACAAACATGTATAGTAAATTGACATGAAAAGGCATTGTGATGTTATCTAAAAATCAGATAAAAATGTTGCATGTTGCAGCTGCACCATGCAATATCTGTTCATGATGAAGAAATTGACTATTAGGAAAAGCAAGTTGGACTATTAACAAGCATATCAGTTCATTTTAGAGCATGAACTCCAAAACCAAGTATAAACACACCTCAACATGATTCCAGGTGCTAATCAAACCAGATACATAGAAACAGAAAAAATGCGCATTCCCTTAAGTTGAACATTTTCTTACAAATTCTTAGATTGAAACACTAATCAGGATGTACATTCAATCGACGGAAATCATAAACCAGAAAGTCCATTTTCTTAACCAGCAGAATATTAATCTACAAATTATTGTTTGTGGATGATGGGGTATTGTTCCACAAATTGAAATATAGAACCAACACTACAAGCACAACATTAAGTTTATGGGTTCAAAACAGCAGGTGCATCCAAAAGTACGTACAAATGGCCCTAACTTCAAACAAGAGATTGACATGGATGCCCTGTGCAGTATCTAATTTCCAGCAAGTGTGCACAAACACTATCATAATTAAGTTCATTTCTTTTTTTTTAGAAATGACAGCAGTAGAGACTCCCACTGTTAAATTAGGTTATAGAAAATTAAGTTCATTTATCTTATCAAGGAAAAGAACTCAACAAGCTAATTAATAGGGAAAGGGAACTTAAATTATTTCAAAAATACCTATTTGCTTCAGATGACATCTGTTCCTTGTTCAGTGTGTTCATAACAGAAAATTTAATATCTGAACAAAATTCTAAGAGACATTTTATGAGTAAAAATTATGATCAAATTTATTCTGCTAAAAGCATACCTTCCTCTAGAGATTAGTTAGCTGCTCAAGCATTTGTATGTTTGCAAGATTGAAATTAATCAACATTTTTCTGTTGGCACATATGCTAGCTAGCATAACCAGAAAATTAACATCCTACCTACCAGGGAAATTATATCTAGTTTGTAGGACGTATGATGGGTGGTACTACATTTTTTAAAATGTATCATTTTCCATTCCTAGAATAACGATAACAAATAAGACAGCTCCAACTGAAAAATTGCATATAGTTCAATAAATATGAACGTAGGAAGCAGCTCACAAATCTAAGATGTGTTTTGTCCATTGTAAACAAAAATGAGAAAGTTTTGAGGTATATTTGCAGCATGAGGAAACATTGCTTTTCTTTATTCTTTCAACCGGGCACACACCCTGCTCAGTTTTAGTTCGACATGAAGAGAAACAAAATTAGTTCTGATCTAACGGCCAAAAGGCAATTTCAAACATTGCGTCTTAGTAGCATAATATAGATTATGCTAACAAAATAGAAACATGCAGTACTAAAGAACAATTTGATATGAATTTGCTGAAACCGAAACTTATTTTAGTTTGAATATTGAAAATCAATGTTTTTATAATTCTTGAAAGATGAATAATTAAAAAGAGAATCATTTATTTCTTGTACACATGCGTGTTAGAAAAAATGATGATATGGTCAAAACACCCTTGTAATAATCCTTGGGATTATACTCTATCTAGGGTACAACGTTTGGTTGAGTTTTGACTTCAGGCTTGTAACATGCACTTAAACATAAAAAATCTAAAAAATCATTATTTAGCATCGCACTATGTGCACATATATATAGACACAAACATCGATCAGAGGCTTGCTCAACAACTTCATCAGGGGCTCGTCCGCTCGTGAATCAAACGTACACGTATGATGTGCCGCTGGATCAGAGGTACGAGCTCGTGAATCAAATCGAAGCTTACCTTCACAGGACCATATTCCTTTGTCCCAACAAAGCCGTCCACATCGTTGCTTGTGCTGCTGCTGGTGACAAGGCAGAGCGCCAACACTCTGAAGACGTCACTGAACTGTCGGTTCATTGGTGAACAAAATACAGCTATAGGCATTAAAATTGTACCTGGGCATGATACTCAAGATGTTTTTTTTTTCTTATTGCATCATGTGCAATTTAAAGAGAGTTGCGGACTCTACAATTTTTAAAGCGTCAAACTATATAAGAGTAATTGCCTGTGCAAGGTATTGATTTTGTCACAATTTGTTAGAGATACATCACATCAAACCTTTAGAATCCATTTTCTCTTAGATCAATAACAAGCAGATCAAACATTAAACATTGGAGACTGGATTAGCAATTCCGTGGAACATCAACATCTCCTATTGCTACCAAGAGAGCAAGGTAGGCAAGAGGAGGACTGGCCATATAGGTCAAGAAAGAGTGTGGATGTATCTAACATTTCTCTTACTTGCTATTGACCACCACTGATCGATATCTTTGTATCTACTTGTCCAATCGAGCATATCACTGTCCCAAAGCTCTCAGTTTCAGGCATAATGCAATGTAGATGCTATGGTTACCCTCACAGACATGTAAGAAGATAAATAAATAACATAAGTTTGACTAAATACATTCACAGTCTGCTAGTACTTCTGAGCTCTAACCCTCTATACTCTCGATATTCTGAATCACAAATGTCTTTGATTGAACAGTAAATTCGAAGAATAACTATTGGCAATTAAATCGATGACCCAAAGTTTTGAAAATAAATAACAATTAGCAATGATCACAGGAGAATTCTTTTAGAATCGATGATCGCAGGAGATCACAGAAGAAGAAAAACATCTCTGCATCCTTTTCGTAATATACATGTGCGGAAAAAAAATCAAAATGATACAATTGTATCTTATTTACCTTGCAAGAAAATGGAGTTCCCATATTTTAATGAAAAGAAATCTGAAGTAGTCCCTCCATATCAGTTCAAATAATACCCTAAAACCATTGTCATGTCAGGAATAGCAGTTCATTATGAATTAGAGCATTCCATATAGAAGGCTTCAAACATGGAATTGGGCTAGAAAAGGCACACTAACCAGTATGTGGAATCATTTTATCCCTCTTTGCTTATCATATGTCTTTACCTGCAAAATAACTGGATATTTAGCATAGGCGAGCTGATGATGTGTGCAGCCAACACAAAATATTACCTCTTCACAAATAGTATAGCACAGCGAAAGACTGTCCGAAGCAAGCCAACAAACTGTTGTAGTCTGGACCAAGCATACCGTTTCAAGTCGTTTTATAGACTGTTCGCTGCTCATTCTTTCAGAAGTATTCATGAACTCTTCACAGAGCTGCACTCTCTCCTCCATGGAAAGCATTTACTTCTTTAACTACATACATACGTCAAACACTACCAATTGTAACAGAGATTTGCAAAAACATATCTACCAACGTATGATGGGCACCACCACCTGGCTCTTCCCCTGCACGATCGGCGTCGATTCCACTGACGGCGGCGGCGCCTTCTCATCCACCGGCGGCGCCTTCTCATCCACCGGCGGCAATAGTGTGGAAGAATTGTGAGACATTTATTCAGACCAAATGAGTGTGCAACTTCGATATGGATATGGTACTATTAGAAGGCCATTGAAGATACTTATGCAGAGGAGGCAGTGTCGGAGCGAAGGCAGTAGGCCCTGCAAGTTAATTCACTATAGTAATATTAATGTACAGTCCGTGGTCAGTACTGTGGCGATGTCAAGGCAAGGTCGACAAAGGAGAATTTAAGCAATCTGGAGCTGGGATCTGCGCCGCTGTATCTGCACATCACAAGCATGGAATGGGCAGAGACTTTTTTCGTTAATCAGACGTAGATGTTTTGAATGAAAATAAATTGTTGTAAGTATAAACCAACCTCTACAAACGAGCGGGACGGAGAGTGACTTGCAGATCTTGGGAAGGGAGATGGCGACAGTGCGGTTGTTGATGGGGAGGCCGAAGGCCATGTTGCCGGTGAGGATGAGGCACACACAGTCGGCGCTGGTGCAGATCACCCCGACCACCGCCTTGCAGCACTGCAGCGTCGGCGAGCCCCTGCCGTTGGTGAAGACCGTGCCAGAGGCCACCAACGCGCACTCCAGCGCCTGATTGTCCAGCAGCCGGAGGTCGCACCTGAACCAGACGACGGCCATGCTGCCCACGCCGCTGCCCCGACAAGCTGTGCCTTCGGAAGGACTCTAAAGGCGTGTTCGACCGCCCTGGGGGCCTCTTCAGTGGCGTGGGAAGGCAGTGCCGCGGCCGCCGCCACAAATCACGAGGAGGGCGCCGAGCCTATTTTGAGGCGGGTGAGGATTGAGGATCCATCTCCTCCGCAACTGCCGCTAGGGTAGCCGCCGCTGAGAGGCAACGGGCAGCGAGATAGGCGAGCATGAAACGAGAGGGACGAGGGCGACGAGTATCGTGTTGAAGATGATAACCATGGCAGTGCGCGGGGGCGGGACGACCGCCCAGGACGCAGTGGGCGGGGTTCCCACTAAGAACAGAGCTGTCATTGGCCGGCGAGTAGCAGCACGTCACTCTGTCCAGCGACGACATCACATTGACGTCCGAAGAGGCCGGGGTCGAGGATGAAGAAGATAGAGTGTCGTCCCGTTGAACTAAAGGAAACTGGTCGACGGAATAAAATTCGCCACGGCACTGCCTTCCCACGCCGCTGTATATATTTGTTGTTAGAAAAGGCGAGGATCGACAATTTAGGAAAATTAGGATTTGGAATTGATTGCTATGATTATTGTTTGATAAGTGTTATCGGATCCTGCCTATTTGTAACATGTCTAGTTTGGAATGTTTGAAAAGGTTAGGAAAGTTTTTATTGGGAGGGTAAAAAAACCAACATGAGGATATGACGGTCGGAGGTGGGACGAAAATAAACCAGATGAAAATAAACCGAACGAAAATGGTGGGACGAAAAAAAACCGTGGACGCAATCCTACCAACTGCTCCATTAGGAGTAGAGATTAGGAGTAGAGATTAGGAGTAGAGATTTGTTGTTGGAATGGTCTGGTGAGATGCTATGAGAAGTGGTTGCCGACATGCAAAGGTTGGGATCTGGGAAAAGGGAGTTACTTGATCTTTTTCTGAACTACCGCAATCTTAAATGCGGGGATGTTGGTAAGAACATATGGACGGGAACACGTTTCTTACGAGACATTGGCATGAGCCATGATGATGTGAACAAGTTTTGGGATTCTCATGGATGGATATTCGGCGCTGCCCCCATGAAGGCTGCGAGCACCATTCTTGGGCAACTCAATGTGGGGAAGGCAAGGTTGCGAAGGATCGTAATGGAGGAACCACGTCAGTTGATGAATTATAAGATTGGCTCAAAGGTCAGCAGATTACCAAGATGTAAACCTGAACCCTGTGCCAAGGAGAAGAGGGAATTCTTAAGACGCATAGGATTTGTTGAAGGCTCGGAAGATATGGAGAAGGCACTCAAAGCTATCCGTGGAAAAGGCGCCAACCTGCAAGATAAATACAACAATTTAGTGGAAGAAGGGCTGGACCCAAAAGATGTAATTTACATGGTGAAGATGGCTCCTCGGATTCTGAATCAGAAGACGGACGCCATTGCTTATAAGATATCCTTCCTTGTGCATGTGGCGGGCTATCCCCTGAGTGCTGTGGCTGCTTTCCCACGGTACCTAGAGTTCACTGTGCACATAAGCAAACTTAAGATGTTGATGTACAGTTGGATGCTACAAAGGGGGCTGGCTGCACCCCAACTTACTCTAAGCACAGTCCTATCTTCCTCAGAAACAGAATTCACCAAGGCTCATGTATATAGGGTTCCCAAGGGTCGTGAAGTTTGGTGGAAGTTCAAGCAGCAGGGAGGTAGCTTCGGCCAAGAGGAGATCAGATGGCTGCGACGCAGGGTGCACCTTGGACGATAATCTAATCGAATGCATGAGTTGGCTGCTTTTTCCCTTTCTTTCTACATTTCCGGCTCGATACAATATTCAGGTGCAGGCCTTCCATAATCCATGCCTCCCCATATATGCCAAGTTCTCTTTTGTAACGGACATGTGATAATCCAGTCCACATGTGTCTATATGACTTTGATTATTTTCTGATTCCCTATGCCCGGTTAACTGGTAAATTGTGGAGTGGCGATCCGCAGACATGATTTGAGGTGATCTTGGTACAGCAATTGGGCAACAATGTATATATTCTTTCTGATTTCTATGGTTTCTTCACCTAGCATGCCATGATGGGCCACATGTCTTCTTTCTGGTTCAATTTCGTAATTTAATCTGGAAGGATTTCATTGGGTTCCTTGATCCCTTTTTGCAGGTTATGGGGACTCCATCTGAAGAGGAAATTCGATTGCAATTTTATTTCAGGCATAGCTGGTACAGTTTTCTCTTTTCGTTGGTGCTTCATTACTGCTGGCAGAGTCCAGAATCCCATTGCGTGGCTAAATAGTTCATGCATGTTTGAAAATGATCCGAATTGCCCACACAATTATACGGCAAAATAAACCAAAATATTTCCATGTAATGTTGCTTCACAGTAGTAGAGTCATGCCAATTTCTTGCAATACGAATCTGATGCCTGTGATTGAGTATAGATCTCCACACCAGTAGTTTGGACCGATCATACCTTGTGTATTTCTGTCCTTTTTCTACATATGATTCCTATAGGGAGGTCCATTTTAACATCGTTTTGCATGACCTACATATAGTACAGGCCCAGGTCAAGGTTCTTTCCAAGTCAAATAAATTTGTTGAAAGCAAGAATGGTAATTCGACAATCTGTGATTTCTTGGACATCCGCAGTTTTCTTAAAGGATCTCTTTTGAAGTTCTATTCGGACAGTACATGCACTATTTGAAGTTTTGAATATCATGTAGCCAATTTTACAGTGTGATGATACTAAGTTTATGAACTTAGCGAACTCAGATGTACATCAGAGTGAAGAGAATGATGGAAGATTACAACATTTTTTTCCAGGCTCGCTGTAAAAATGATTTACCATTGAAAATCCCTTCACTTACTAAGAGCATCTACAACCGGACCCTCCATATCTGCCCAACGCCCGGATGTAAAATTGCCACCCAACTGAACCTGGCAAATCCGGCCCAACCGCCCGGACTGACCGGCACTCCAAAACCCGGCCCCATATCTACGGCGGATATGGGGATGTCGGGACGTGCCCGCCATGTTAGATTCGGCCCACTGTTGCTCATCTGACCCCACATATATTCAACTCAGTCCGCACTCCGGACAAAATCCTAGCAGCAGTCCACTCCACTCCACTCCCCTCCTACATTACCCAAGCTCCTCTCCGGCGTACTCCTTCATGGTGGGCACTAGATCCGACTTTGAGATGTCCGGATCCAAGGACTGGGACCTCATCCCTTGTAGTCCCGAGGAGCAGATGGCCGTCACCGGTGCTCTATGACGCTCCGGAAGGAGTGTGCCCTCCCGCAGTCTTCATCCATCTGGTGGGAATCCATTGCTTCTACTAAAATGGCGCCAGGATCCATCGGGGCCGGTGGATCACAATGCGTGATAGCGGCCTTGCCAAAAGCGGTGACCACCGCATGGCAAAGCAACACCGATTTGTCGGCAGACCCGTTTAGGTGTCACCTCGTTCCTGCGGCGTCGGCCACCGAATGGAGGCCATATCCGCCTCCATGGTTCGTGACCAAAATGAGGAGACGCGGTGTGCCCGCCGTGTGAGCCTACGGGCATGCCTTGAAGCGGAGGCGGCTTTGGCAACCCGTGAGGCGGAGCCGGCGGAATCGCACGCCAGCATGGGCAACGAGGAGGAAACCCTCTGTGCCTGCATCGCCGAGATGCGACGAAGGAGGGCGGTTCGTGCCATGGCAAAAGAGCAAAGCAAGGCGGTCTCTACCATGGCCGGACTGCCCCCAAGGAGGAAAATGATGAGGACGGCGACGGATCGGGCAACCCCAGCAGTGAGTAGATCCGCCTCGATCCGTTTTGCGTCTTCGACCGCTACTGCTGCATGGAAGACAACAAGGGCAAGGGCGCCCGTGGATAAACTTAGTAGAACATGTCAATTTTTGATAGTTCGATGACATGTGTTGAACTACACATGTTTAACGTTGCATGAGACTAGTATGGATTTGAGGATTTGGTTTGATGGATTCGGTTGTGGACGCATACTTTGGATGCTTGCCCGGTAACTGTCGGCGGATGTGCCCTCCGCGGACGTATAGGGGCCCGGATTAGGCAACTCCGGTCGTAGATGCTCTAAGCTCCCTTAGAAACTGGATCTTGTGAGCTCTGGGGATTGCTTTCTTTCATGACCACAGAATATTGAAATTCTTGGAACTTGAATAGTTTAGGAAAAATGGAGCAAGATTGCTGATCTCCACATTGCGCAAAACACAAACATTACATTGCGATCTTTTCATTGAACATCACACGTGCATACACTAGATGCTTCCACTGCATACGCATCGCTTCCTGTAGCTCATGATCATCCTAGCTCCATTGTTGCCACTCTAGATTCAGCTCTTGCACTCACCTCTCCACTTTTGAAGACATATGCTCTATGTTCTTGGTGCTGGCATTGGCAGAGGTCATTAATCAAGCATTAAGGAACTGAGCCGGAAAAGATCTAGGTCATCATGGGGCTTTCTGCCAGGAGAAAACAGGGTAGGAGTGCGCAGCGCCTGGTGTCCCATGGCAGGCCGTGCTGCGTGCATCCGATCGATTGCACGGCGGTGGCGGCGCGCATGGCAATCGCACGCCGTCGGAGGTACCGTACCAGCGGTCGGCGGGAGCACGGCGTGGAGCGAAGCCACCGAGGCGGGGCGATCGTTGGTGGAGGACTATGGACTAGCATCGGTTTTCCTGCCTAATTTTCATCGGTGGGTCGCCCTGAAACAATTATACCGTACTGCTTAGTAGGATGACATAGGGTCAATTTAAAATAGACGGCTGGTCATATCTCCTCGCACCCGGCAAGGGTGCAAATGCAAAAAAAAAAAAAATGGTGTTAGTGGAAGTCTTAAGAAAGACCATGGCTAAAATTACAATGAAACGTCCCTAAACGCGGATTCGTTGGGAAAAGAGGGAATTGTGTGCAAGTCTCGAGAAAGATCATACCCGAGATTCACCAACGCCAATACCATAGAATGAGGGGAATCAAATGAAAATTTGTTCTATACTGGACCCCCGTGACGCCCTCCCTGGTGACTCGGGGGCGAAACCCTAGCGCCGCCACAGCCCTCCCTCTTCTCGCCGCCGTCGCCACTCAACTGGATTCAGGGACGACGTTGGCGAGGCACTGCATCAGCAGTCGCAAGGTGGAAGTGGACATCCCTCGAGTGCGTGGCTGGTGGCGGTTGCCGGGAATGGACTCGGCATGGTGGCCAGGTGATCGTGGAAGTGAGGCGGGAGCGGGCTGGTAGTTGGGCTCCGGCCTGACACACGAGGTACGGGCGCCCACTCTTGGGGACCACACATCTGGTTGTCGGGTGCATTTCTCACCAGATATATCCATCCCAAGCTCGGCTAAGCTAACGGTTGTTTGTGGCCGCAACTGGACGGGCTGGCCGCCGGGGGCATTTATCACCGGATATGACCACCCCGGGCTCGGCTAAGCCAACGTTAACCGTGGCCGTAACTGGATGGTGGTGGTGGTTATGGACGGCGTGGTTGGGTTCGTGGCGGTGGATGTATTTTTGGCCGCTGGTGGGGGATTAGGTGTCCATGTCGATGACAATAGGGTGCTACCCACATATTCCGACGGTGGGGAGGGGCAAGGGCTTGCGCGGGTGGCGGTTGGCGGGTGATAGACGTACCAGTGCGGCGGTCAGGACCGATCCTACCTTCCATTGACTCTTGTGCTCGAGGTGAATGATTGCGTTTGCAGAGGGTCTCCTTTTGGACATGGCGAGGACGCTCATCATGGCCTGCCAGGAGGGTGGTAAAGTCTTGTGCTCATGTGCCGGACTCGAAGGACAGTGTGTCGAGGTGAGGCACAATCGTGACACTTCAAGCGAAAGCCTAATGCCGACTTGGTCGACGGCGATGATGGTGATACCATCGGGCATGTGAGCTTTCGTCAACCGCTCTTGGTGTGCTCTGGGCGAAAGCCTAAGATCTATCTTTAGATTGGATGACGACGACATCTGCGATGTCGCTTTCCTCCTTGGAGGCGTTGTCTTAGAGTCATTGGTCCGCTATTGGTCGTTTTGATGTCTCGGTTGAAGCATGGTGGGTGTTTTGGGGTGTCTGGTTGTGGCGGTGGATCTAATCTATTGCAGTGGTCTTTGCCTTGGCCATTCTGGTGTTGTTGGTCTACCTCTCTGTTGGGGGCTCGTGGTGGTGGTGAGCTCTCGGAGTTTGGTGCCCTTCGATGAGGTTTGAGGTTTGGTTGCCTCATAGTGTCCTGGTTGTCTCTATTTGTGATTCTGGTCGTGGTGTGGCCCAGAAGAGTGCAGAGCTGTCTCGGTGAAACATTGCCCTTCGGCATGGCATGCGGCTCACCATGGATCCTGATCTTTGCCAGTGAAAGACCTTCATTTTTAGATGTTTCTTTGTAGGGTTTGTGTCCTGCTTAGAAAGACAAGACAGTGACGGCTCCCTGAAGATGAAATAATGTTCTCCCTATCTAGCCCCTCTCTGATGATGCATCTAGCATCGTCACAGGGTGTGTGAAGGTGTGTCTTCGGTGGATCTCGCAAGATTCGGTCGGTGGTTGTCTTTGATAGATCTATTCGAATCCAATCTTCGTCCGTTGTTTGTGTCTTGAAGTTTCAAAAAAGAAAAAGAAAAAATGTCTTACATCATGAGACCGAGGGAGTGGCGTCTTTGACCAGTTTTTAAAAATGGAATAGATAAATCCCGAACGTTCGGAATTTAAGCATGTCATCCTGAACTTTTTTAATGGCAACTTTGCTGAGAGGTGGCAACTTTAGTTGTTAACACATGACAACTTTGTTTCAGGTCGATTTTTTGTCAGAAAATTGCCATGTTTGTCAACAACGCCTTGATCAAAGTTGTCATGAAAAAAGTTCGGATTATATAGCATGCTTAAATTCCGAACGTTTCGGGACTTATTGAGGTTCTAAAAAAAAGTAGTGTCTTGACCCAAGCACATCCCCGCCCCACTCCATCCCTCGTGGTCCAGTCCGCCGCCCGCCGGCGGTTTTAGTGGACGAGAAAAGTGTCAGGGCCAGTCTGCCCGCCGGCGCCGTGCTCCCCTGGACATGCCGCCCAATCCTCAACCGAGCTGGACGCGGCAGAGCTTTGCAGCGTACGAATTCGTATCGGATTGCCAATTCGTTTGTGCGTTTGCCAATCTCATTAGCCTCGCACCGCAGAGCAGAGCAGGAGAGAAGAGACCGATTCCGAGAAGAATGCAGTCTCTCTCAGTACTCAATTCGATTTAGCAGTCCCGTGCCTACATAAGCGCGCCCAGAGAATCAAGGAGAAGCCATCGCAATCAGGCGAGAGCATCCTAGCTCCTACTGTAGATCGGAAGCACTTCTCACGAAAATCCGGTCAGTCTTTTCTCGCCGATCGATGGAGATGGAAGGCGAACCATCAGCGATCTTGCCGCTGCCGGTGCTCGTGCACGATCTTGGAACCCGTGCCGAAGATTCGCAGACGCAGTACAGCATCTCAAGCCAAGCCTCGAGCGCGGCAGCCGGCGGCGTGCTGCGAGACCACCGGTGTTTCGAGACCCCGCAGGGCTGGGTGCTCGCGCTGGACCCTGCCTCCCTGCAGACGTTCCTGTTCCGCCCTCAGGACGGCGAGAGGGTCCGGCTGCCGCCCTTGGAGGAGGCGCTCCCGCTGCGCTGCAAGTGCTTGCTCTCCAACAGTCCCACCGCGAAGCCAGGCTGCGCCGTCGTCGTGGTCTTTGATCTCGACGACAGCAAGATGTGGACGTGCAGCATCGGGGCGGCAAGCAGGTGGGACAGCTACCGCTACCAGCTCACCGTGTTCCTCGACGGCGACGTGCCCCGGGACAAGAACATGGCCAAGTGCCATGGCATGGCGGCCGTCGGCGGCAAGATTTACTACGAGATGACCGGCGACGAGCTCGGGTTCATCCGTTTCAACGATGATGATGGTAGTCCGGAGCTCGACGCCATAGCTGTCGACATGGTCGATCTGCCGCTGAGCATGCCGACGGCGGCGACCTACTTGGTTGAATCCTGCGGCGACCTCTTCCTCGTCGTCATCTTCTTCGACGGCGACAACGTGCACAAGATAGCGGAGCATGCGGTCTACAGGATGGACTTCTCGAAACCGGCGTGGCGCAAGGTGGACAGCATCGGTGATGATAGAGCGTTCCTTACTCTCTTGGTGGAGATAGGATTGGGATCTCCAGTTTCGGGGCGTCGTGCTCCACTGCTTATCACACTGGTGGTGGTGGTCTGCGAGGCAACTGCATATATTTTCTGAATCACATGGCCATTACTGAGAACTTTCTGCATGTCATCGACGTCGGCAACGGGACTCAACAGGTGCAGCGGCCTTTCAGGCACAAGGGTTATCTGATGCCAGTTCGACCGCCGTTCTGGTTGGTACCTACTGAATGAATGTACCCCATGATATATATAGACAACATATATGAATAAATTTGAGCTTGTACTTAGTGTCAAATAGGTTTTCGGATCCACGTATTATTGTGTCATGTCTATGTATGTAATATATATATATATGTCAGGCTAGTTATCATCTTCCTCAAAATTACAGACAACTTTACCACATTTCTCTAATTTGACATTACAAGCTATTGTAAGTCAAGCCATCAGAGAACTATTGTAAGTCTGTAATGCCCCCTTTATGTTTGACTTACAATGCTCCCTTTATGTTTGCCTTGAAAATATCAGTCGTAAGATACACCATAGTTCTCTGGTGGCTCCCTTTATGCCTGAACATTTATCAGTCTCCTATTTGTTCTTTATGTTTTCTTCTACCCGGTTTTTCTCCGGTAAAGAAATATAAAAACGTTTAGATCACTACTCCCTGTACTAGTAATTAAAGATAGTACTCAAAGTTCGTGTAGGTTTTAGTTGCTCCCTGCAAGACTTGAGTTTTCCGCTTGCTCTCCAACCTCTACAATTTCTTTTCTTTTTTTGCGGGAAAACCTCTACAATTTCTTGCTTAAGGTCCTGTTTGCTTGGGTTTTTGCTTCTGCTTTTGCATCTTTCTCACTTTAACAAAAAAGAGCCTAAGCAAAAAGCACCTATTTAGAGGCTTTTTGGCTTTTTTTGTCAATGAAAAAGGCAAAAGCTCATCTTTATTACTACAGCAGTTGTCAACAACGATCAAAGACACTAGCCATATTTGGAATGAAAACACTTCACACACGACACTTTGCTGGACAACACTTAAACGATGGCTAATCTAACAGGCTGGTATTTGAAACGGAAACGCTGATCCAAGTTTTACAAACGATTTCACCTGCCAAGTTTTACATAACTCTGGATTCCGCTGCAAACCTTTTTGCATTATCATCTTCAGTCCAAGTTACAACCAAGTGACTCCGCTGAATTGGTGCGAATATAAACAGTAGCTAGAAACGACGAGTTGCTGGTCGTAGGCATTGAAGCAACAAAATGGGAATCGTCGTTACAAGCATACGTTCCGCAATATCACCCCAGGCCAACCGAATTCAAAAGATCATACGCAGGGAAAGAACACCAGCAGGCATACTAGGCCCTAACCTACAACAAAGGAATCCCAGATCAATGCCTACATGAGCTTTTTGCTTGTGTCAAACAAAGCCAACAAAGCAGTGGTGGAAGCCTGCTATGTTATCACGATGCCTGCAATGTCACCGAGTTCACAGTCAAACCCGCATAGTTGTTTTGTCACCCGTTAAGTCTTTCTAGCGTCCCGTATATGGAAGATAAGCTGCAAATAAGATTAACAAACAATGAGAAGATCCATTTATGTGGGTTCAAAAGAAATTATTAGCAAATAATCACCTTGACGCCCACATAGAAAGTAGAGAATATGATGCCAAGTGCAGGAAGGGCTGCAGAAACGGAGTCATGTATTAGCTACATAGTTTGTGTACATTTCACCAACGAAACTGTATTACAAGTAATGGATGTGAACATATAACTCACCATCCTTGTGGAGCATCCGCGACATCAGAACCTTAATGCCTGACGGCCCTACAACGTAGCCAACAAGGTTTGCCACCTACAAGCATTGGACATGTCAGGACCAGCAGTTTGCTTACAACCAAGAAGGTAAGTAGTACTCCTAGCTGACTAATCTAGTGTGTAGCTCATAATCTCTCCATGTCTCAAGATTGTGCAGAAAATCATGACTAATTAACACTCAAATATAAAGACGGAAGTACCATAAGGGAGCTGACTGTCACAGCACCAGCAATTACACATAATTCACGATGAATGAACCGCCCAAGGGTACTTTTTGCCTGCAGGAAATGTTATTTTGGAAGTATTACTTGCTAACAATGAAAAATTGAAGCGTCTAGAAAGAATGCTAAAAGATATATGCGTGCAGGAGAGAACAAACATATAGACTTGAAACATCAAGCATAAAAGGAACAAGACCACACATTGTTGTGGTACTGCAGATACCTAGACATCATGTTAGCTTTGTTGTTTGGACATTCAATTTGTATGTCTTTCTTAACTTCAGATTTAAAGAGTGTCCAACTTTCTCCAAACAAATACAGTAACCTAAATTTAGTCACCAGGCAAGCGGTTCAGAAAATCTGAAACTTGATAACAAGCAGATAAACTGCAAGGGCGGCCAATAATAACCTTCGGAGATTACCTGGAAGTTGTTGGAAAAAGACTTGATCACTATTTCAGGGACAAAAAATAAGCATGTTAACCATGCCCATGAAATAAGTTTCCTGTTTAAGAGAAAGCAACCAAATGGTCAATGTAAGTTACACAAGTTTGTTCGCAACTTGGATGTTTACAAGACTTAAGGAGATAGTTTGAAAGGTACCATTCCAGGTCATGCCAGACTGCTACGAATGTGAATACAATCCAGACACTAATTAGTTTTCTTCGAGACCCACCAAGAGGTATGTAAACGTACCTGCAACAAGAGATGGATAATGAAACTTACACTCTGGGATTAATCAATGCCTGTGTATTGACTGCAAATGCACCTCTGTATAGACATATACCAACTCTAGAGCTCCATGCATGGGCCATGGGATTAACTATATCTGAACTTCATGCACTTTTTATTCAAGTAGTAGGAAAGATTTGTTAATCATTATATACATCCCATCCCATTACAATATGTATATACATCAAAGTGCAGTGATGCTATGAATAACAGTAAACTAGACGGGAAAATTTGCTAGCATGGTACCATGATACTTAAGCTGGCTACTTCTACACAGACCTGACCAGCCATCTGTTAAAGGAAGCATGCCAGCTTTTCCAGAAACTCTCCAGGTCAGGACAATTATTTATGCACCTAGGCATGTTTTCAGGTGTCTCAACTCCTCCTACCTGTAATAAAATGCTAAGGTTAAATCCTTGTCTGTTTAGGTTCACTTGAATTTCAGCACAAACAAGAACATTTGTCCAGCAAAAAGGACATAGTGAAGTCAGTTTAGCACAAAATACAACAAACTGAGAGTTATCACTTCAAGAGGAAGTATGCAGTGCTGCAAAACGAACTGATGGTGCATATTGAGTACAGAATTTCAATGTTGTATTACCAGTGACCAGAACCTGAAGTAGCGCCAAATAAGGAAGAATTTTAACCACATAAAGAACAACACCTGCATAGGAGCTCCAGTGTGTTAGCTAACAAAAGAGACAACAGAAATAGTAGAAGTGACTAATGTGGTAGTCTAGTGCATCACAACCCATGCAAAAACCTATGAAAATGCAATGTTGTTACAGTTAAGGCCGCGCTTGGTTCATTGTTTCTCCACCGTATTTATTTTCCACCCGTAACCTCTTCCATCCGCATTAAACTGGGTACCCGCAAAATCCGGGTGGAAAGGAAACGGAGTGCGGGAGGTGTGTATTCTTTTTCCAGGTGTAAGGCAAAAAAGGCCCCCTTTTAAGGATCTAGACAACCAACCAAGCGGCTGACTCCGAGAAGTGCGTATTAATTTTCGACCTGGATGTTTTACGCCTGTAATCGTCCATGAAATGATGATCCGATCGCGCCCTAAACCTGTTCAGATTACACCCGTTCAAGCTCTGATGCAGGTTCCAGCAAGGGCCTAGAGAGGCCCAGCCTAGAAAAGCAAGGCCGTGTCAAGGATGACAAGCCTAAAAAGGCAGGCCCAAACCCAAAAATCTTTTTTTCTGAATAAAGTTAACAAACATTATCTAAATTATTGTTATAATTTGCTGGGCTTTTCCAGGCATCTGGCTGAGCCTGCAAGTTGAAAAACTGGGCTTGAGCCCAGAAAAATCACACTTGCCTCACTGCCATGAACATTCACAGGTTAGTGGCAAATGGAAACTTCTTTACTTTTTAGTGGAAATGGAAAACTTACATGCAGGTCACTTAATTAATAAGAATTTCGCTTGAAACAGAAATAATAAGCACAAGTGAGAATATCAACTGCCACACGCTCACCCTAAGTGACTACCGATGAATATCAACTGCAATGTGTATAATCTTACCCCATAACTAATGATGAAGATCTCAAACGGTGCCAACTGCCGCCATAATCGGCTGCCATCAGAGTATTTAATTCAAAATTCAGAATGGGTATCATGATAATCATAATAAAGGATTATCGTAATGTATAAACAGAAGTACCTGACTACAAACGCGTTGTAATGGAAAAAGTGTGTCATGACTTCGATTAGAAGGAAATTTAGGATCCACCTTAGTCCATAACAACATATCTGCCCAACTGAATAATTTTTCTGAGGTACATCTAACTGCAAGGTCGCTACATAAACAACCGGTTAGTAATATGTAACTGGGGGATCTCTGTGGCACCAAAGAGTAAAGCCACTGCTTGAACACACAGATCAAATCTTCTATGGACTACTGCAAGACAGTTTTTAAAGTCACCAAGTACAATTTGAAATTGAAATCAGTTAGTGTTATGTATGGTCGATGCCATACATGAACCGAAGACCTACCATTCCTTTTTCAAGCTACTAAGACTCATAGATGTTTCATTCGGAATGTTGCAAATTATTTATGTATTGTTTCGATTATGTAGCCTAAGAATCAAGTAATGTGAAAAAATCCTTTCGTAAATCATAATCCATAACCAAAAATCATTCAAGTTGTTGTTTTCAGCTTTCGAAATTTAAATAAGACAAATCAGCTACAACAGAAAACTACCTGGATAAAAGACTAACCTGAGCTGCAAATGCGTTGTAGCTTACAACAGGTCCAGCAATATAGAGTGGAGCATATGTTAGGTAGCATAAATATGTTAGGAATGTGTATTTGTCAACGCTGAGTCCTTTCTCCTGCCAAGAACAATGTAATATCTTATCACCAGACACAAAGAATGAATATTAACTCAATCTGAGATAAAGACATGTTTAATATATTGACCGAGGCTTGAAATTCCGTAATGCCATGATGTGCAAAAAGGAGAAAAGGGAATAGTAATATTGAGACCTGCTTTATATGCATCTGCCTATAGAAAATAACAGGTAAATCTCAGGTCAACAGGACATCGACCATTCATTTATGCTTGGAAATTACCGACATCTCTAAATAAAATTCCCAGTTCCATTCTTCCATGGGTCAACACCTAATCTGTAGACAAACTCAAGAAGTACAATCTAAACTAACAGTGGGTCTCTCTTTTATCACTGCCATACTACACATCACCTGGATAATACACATTCTAACTTAACTGGTACGAATAAACTGGAATAATGAAGTACCTGCAAAGCAAAGTAGCATGTCTTGCCGGAATAACAAACTTCACATTTCTGCATGTGTTTCTGTACCAAGAGTACTCATGTCAGCACAGTCCAGTATGTGACAAGACAAGATACTGTGCTGTGCAAATGGAAGATGATGGTATGACAGGGATATAAATATGTCCAATGTATGGTCAAAAACAAAATGAAGGATCTTTCTTGTCATTTTCATAGAAGTAAATTGAGTCGAATTTTTTTTAGAGAGTTAATGTTGGCAATTTAAGTTCGAATTTGAGTAGTTGAAAACACCACAAATACTTCTTGGACTAGAATTCACATCTGAATTTGGATGTACATCCACGTGTTCACGAGATTAGCTTGATTTCAAATCCAAACTACTTAATAAATGTGTGAAAATTAGAAAAACCCTGTTTCTAGCTATCTGTGTATTTTAAAGCATCTCATGGATACAAAACTTAATATGCATAACATAGGACAAAAAGCTAAGTTATCAGGGTACATAGTACCTTGTGATCAAAGTGAGACGAACTAAGTGTCCAGCAGTAATCACATCCAAAGCTAATCATCCGTAATACAACTGTCACATGAAATGGAGAAGGGCATCAAAACAACAAATTTGATGATAACGGCATATGTCAACAATCCAGATAAATTAGAAGAAACACAAAAGGCACAAAATATGATGCATAAACAGTATGATGAACTATATATATGAAGTAACTGTTGTGATAGCCAGATCAAACCTACACAGCAGGACAGTTTTCTATATGAGGTAGTCAAGTTCTATGACACTTGATCCCACAAAAGCAACCATAACGAAACGGTGTTCATTGACTTGATACAGGGGAGGAAAGTAGCCATGTAATTCGATAGCTTAAGTTTACTGCCTCATCGGTTCGAAACTCTGAGATCTGAAGAATCTGTTCCTACCAACTGAAAAATATAATTTAACACAGTTCATGTGGTAATAACTCATGGTCTCTAGATGAGATCTACATGAACTGCTTATAAGTCTAGTTTTGCAATTCAAGTATTCAACACAAACAACGCTTCAGAATTTAAGCCTTTCAAAACCTCCTAACTACTATTTCAAGTGAGAGTAACCCTACATTTCCATACAGTAAGCATCAACAGCAAAATTTGTCAACACTTTTTCAATCAGAGTCAAACCAAGTAACAAACACGACATGGAAATCGTACCAAAATTGAAGCATATGTGCCATCGAAATGTACCCCGATAGTTATCAAGGAAAGCCAGTTGTTGCCTATTTATATGAACATAAATATCATCAGAACCTAAATGAAAAGGAATCTTACTAAGGGAAAGTGCAAGAAGCAATACAGCAACATTAAAAATCTCACCCGAACAATGAGAATGAATAGCCTTCGTAGACCCGGTTAAGTGTAAGCATAGCTAAGTTGAAGCTCCATATGATGCCAGTGCAATATTTATATCGAGCAAATAACTACAAACAAAAGATTGTGATCAACAACAGATGCTAATTTGATTCATATCAGGAGACCAAATGTGCTGATGCTTCACAAAGTAAATGATAAATGGTGTTTCTTTGTTTGTTTTGACCATTCTCTTAGCTTAGCAATTAGTAGATTCATCAAATAACCATTAACCAAACCTATACCTGTAGAAAGAAGAAATCAATTTGGTCACTGCAGCCTACATGATCGAGTTCAACTGATGGTGCCACTTGCTGGTAGATGATGTAGACTCACATAGCAGATCAGGTGTAAGCTTGGCTTTCTTCACCATGTTCACTATGTCAACTACTCGATTCTTAAATGGAGTAATTGTTATGGTTAACAGGTTTGCATTCGTGAATGGAACATGAATAATAAAGACAGCAGGCTTGCACTTAAATGCACACATCAGCGGACCAACCAAACAAGTATTGTGCCTAGACAAAGTTTCTAGAAGAACTTGAGCCACTAGAAACAAATGGTTGCTTTTAACTGATGATGATTCAGAACAAGAGTTTCAGCTAGTGAACCAATTAGCCTACCATGTCCTTCCATTATTCGTTTCCTAAAAGTATCTTTATATGCTTACACAGACAACAGACGAGAAAAATTTAGACAACTGAAAAAATGTCAGAACAATAGCTTTGATAAAAAAATGTCAGCACCGACCTTGACTATGGCGTAATTAACCCCTGCTATTACAAGAATGAAGCCAACACTGTCACATAAGTAAACAAGTTAGCACGTTTATTTAAAAAAAAGAGAGAGAGAGAGAGAAGGGGCATAAAACTAGGATCGGTCGGTCGCCTACCAAGCACCATGTAGGTAGCATAGATAGATCAGGGACAATATAAGCCAGACCAACGAGGCCCCTCTGCCCTTCAAGCTACAGCCGTATCGCAGCCCTTTCGCCACGATCAGAAATGCAGCCATTACAACGGTGAGAATAGGTAAGTTCCCACGGAAGTTTCTCCATTGCGCGTCAGACGAGTCCTGCGACATCCACACGAGGAAATCATACCGGGTGGCTCTTGTTAATCCTTGAGGTGAACTGAAAGAGTGAAGGCGCGAATTTACACACGTTCAGACGGCCGGGGATTGATCCAGCTCTTAGGCCGTAGAGTTTCCCGGAGTAATCTGCGCGTCAAGAGAGAAGAATGCGATGTGATGGCGGGCAGCACTGAGATGGTGTCAACGGAAGAGTAGGCGGAGGGGGGTGGGAATGGCTGGTACCGCGGGCGAGGCGAAGCGACCTCTGGACCATGGCGCTGTAGAACACCACCGCGTAGGCGCACAGCGCGGCGAGCTCCAGCCGCTTCCACGGCACGCTGCTCATCTTGCTTGCACCGGGAGAAACCGGCGAACCGGGGACGGTCATAGAGGCGCGGGCGGCGAGGATCTACGGCGGAATGGGGCCGCGGGGCGGGACGGCGCGGTTGGCCGGCCCTGATGGTCGCCGGCGGGGGAGATGCGGGGTTGTGCCTCGCCGTCGGATCTAAAAAACTTGGGACCAAAACCACCTCCCGTCAAGCCGCCATCGCTGAACTGAAGCTATAGAGGCGTATTCCCAGTCTCCGCTTTCAGGGCGGCAATACGCACTCTGCGGGCCTACGTTTTCAGTCCCACCTCTCGGCCCAACCCGCGGGCCACGTCAGTGGCGCGACCCCACGACGGCCACGCGTCCACCTCCTCATCCTCGCGCTCGTCCCGCGGAGCGCGCACGTACACGTCAGCGCACTCCCTCCACGCGCCGGGCCCACGCGCCAGGGAGAGCGGGACGAGACTGCGGGACCCGTATTTTGCAGAGACGCCCCTCCCCTTCTCCGCAATCCCAACCCGATCCCATCCCATTCACCACAGTCTAGTCCCCTCCCCCTCCCCTCCCCACTCCCCCCACCGTTCTTCCTTCGCCGGCCACTCCGCGAAATCGAATCCAGGTACCGCCTCTCCGGCCTCCCGCTTCGATTTCGCGCTCCGCCGACGCAATCGGACGAGCAGGATCCGCTCCGTGTTTTTTTAGAATTTTTTTTCGTAATTTCGAGCGGCGGAAGGTCCGGGGTTGAACAAAACCCTGCCTGCTTCGTGTTCCGTAATCACGCTGATATCCGAATTTTGTCCCTGAATTGATCCGCTCCATGGACGTTTGATGCAACAGCGAGCGCGAATCCTGCCAAAGCCGGTGTTGAGGAGCAGTTCGTGTGCCCTTTGGTGAGTGGGGCAATGGCGGCGGCAGGGAGACTGCGGGGACGGCGGCGGACAAAGGAGGTGGAGCGCGAGCCCGAGCCGTTCACCATCGAGGAGGAGGTGTCCCACCTCACCCGGGTCCGGTCGGAGCCGTGCCCCGGCACCCGCGCCGCCATCCATGGCGCCAAGCGGAAGAGGGGCCTCTCGGCTTTCGAGATGGTGTCGTCGAGGGAGTCCGGTCGCTCCGGGGGCGGCGGGTTCTGTTCGGCCGACCGCGCCTATGCCGCCGGAAAGCACCTCCCGTCGGAAGGGCCGTGGTGCGTCGAAGACATGGATAGCGAGGCCTATGTCTCGCAGTTCTCCAGCGATGGCTCGATGCTCGTTGCCGGGTTTAGGGTAGGTGATTTTGCTTCTTCTTCTTCTTTAGAAGACCCATATGGAAACCTGCGAACAGATAAGTTGTGCCGCAAGTGTGGCTAATATTTCTGTGCATTCCTAAATTTGATGATAAGGGAAGCCGCATCAGAGTTTACGATGTCGATAAAGGGTGGAAGGTTCATAAGAACATAAGCTGCAGAAGTATGAGGTGGACGGTTTCAGATATTGCTCTCTCCCCTGACCAGCGATATCTTGTAAGTCTGTTTTGCTTCCATATTCTCTCCCTTGGGTTGGATCAACCATTATTTTTCTCGATAATTCTTGGACATAGATAAAATGAATAGTTAAAGATTGAAGCACTGATTGCATTATTTGGTTGTGGAAAACAGATCATTTATAGTACTGGCATTTGTCTGCACTTTTTTTCAAGAAAACGCGAAGCTTGCGTTTCAATGCGTCGATCATTTTTTACAAGCCTAAGACTAGGCCATTACATCCAACACTTATGGCAAGACTACAACTCTTAGAGTTTAGTTTGAACGCAACAGCCCATGTCCAATAGTTTTTTGTTAGGTCAATAGTTTTTTCCCTTAAGATATTTTTGTGGTGCATTTGGATTCAGACACAGACGTTCGGCTCTCGGGTGTGCAGCACACCGGTATCTGTACCAATGTTAATTGCATGGAGATGGTCGCATTAAATTAGGCATAAATTTGGCCAATTGCTATACATATTCAATACTTCGCTATGTACTTTGAAATAATGCTTTGAAGACATACTGTATCCAAAAATAAAAGTTAATCCCCTTTCTTTTGCGGGAATAAAAGTTAATCCCCTAAAACAAGGCTTTGAAAAGCCACCACGATGTCAAACGATGTCTATTGCTTTTTAATAGCATTTACTCAATCGGTCATTTCAAGGTTTGCTACTTTACATTACCATTTTAAGTTGAAAGTTAAATCAAATTTATACACAACACTCACTTTTTATCTGGAATATTTTTCCTTGAGGTGTACTTTCTAGGTTTTTTTATGCAGTTGTTTGCTGACTAATCAAGTTGTATTCTGGTTATTTCATGCTCGTTTATATGCTTTCCTATTCATTTTTCACTCAAGTCGTTCGATCCTTCACAGGCCTATTCCAGTTTGTCGCCTATTGTTCACATTGTGAATGTGCAGAATGCTGGAAGGGAATCGGATGCTAATGTTACTGTATGTTCTACACTCTGAAACTATGACTGCATGCTCATGTGGTCATGCCGTACTTATAAAATGTAAGTGATGTGCACGTAATCCATGTTTTAAATTTTTTTCTTTTTCTGCAGGAAATTCACGATGGTTTGAAATTCTGTGATAACGATGAATACTCTTTCGGGATATTCTCTGTGAAATTTTCGAAAGATGGTAGAGAAGTAGTTGTTGGGAACAATGATTGTTCAATATATGTCTATGATCTTGGAGGAAATAAAGTGTCAGACCGTATCCGTGCTCATACGGTATGAAATAACTCGATTAGCCATATGCATCTTGGTTCAATCATTTCTCTGGCTGCTTTATTCTTTCTTTCATTCCATTCCATGTTGTCTCGGCTATCTCATTCCATACCATGTTTAAGATTCCTAAAAAAAATGTTTGTTATCCACACAAGAACAATTATTGCCTCAAAGGTCAAAGCGAATCACCATCACTTAAAATTCCTAAACAACATCATAAAAGGGTTGTGGTGTTGACGTGTTCTTTGGGTCGTGCCATCCTTGGCGATGTAAGGGTTGTGCCGTCTTCGGCGTTGCATCTCTTGTATTTTACCTGGCTACGGCCCAGCAATAATGAATAGTAGAGATAAGATGTATGTATGCGGAGGCGTCCTGTGGACCAATAACTCTATGAGAGCCTGTAGCGACGTTAGGCCGGCAGCCCCTTGCACTTGGACCGTCCATGGTACAGTATCACACAAATATAACCAATGGCCCGGAAACTGAGCTGGATTAGATTGATGGAGCAAACGAATAGCACATAGTAGGAGGAAGAAGAAGCTGTGAATCTGAGCAATGGAATTCATAGTGAATCTGGGCAATCGCCCGGAAAAGTGATAATCGAGTACTTGGAAGTTGTAACTACTCGATTTGTAGCTCGCCGGGCATTCAGTCAAGTACTGCTCCCTATCTTCAGTCAATGGCAGCCTGTTTTTACAAGTGTCTAGTCATTATTTTTGTATGTGATTTCAGATTAAAACGTAGCTCATATTAATTCAGAAGTATCTTCGGTCCTTTAGCGGTGATATTAGTATATGTTCGATTCCCCCGCAAAAAAAATCAGTATATCTTCGATTCATTTGGCGATTGGCATAGCAAAGTAGAAATAAAACAATGTGCACGTTACATGCAAATGAAAAATCCATTCCAAGATCAAGAGACATTTTCTTTGTTCTAGCAATGGTAAATATGCAGTTCATTTTTGATGTGTTAGCTGGACTGAAAGTTAAAAACATGTGTGCACTGTTTCCTTCGGAGAAAATTAGTATCCAGAATTGAAGCATGTTGGATACAAGCTGACATATTAGGTCTGCTCCATGTGATTGTGTGAAATGTGCCAACAGAGTCGGATTACTCAAGAGGTCGATCAGGGGTTTGGGTAAGAGAATTGAAATACCAAGAGCCGGACATTAGAGACGGCCCTCGATTCGTTGGGTGAAGCATACGACCTCTACATCCTCTACTCCTAGGAGATTGGGTTTGGAATTTGGTACGGCAAGAGCAGGTTGAGCGTGGAGATGACAAAGTCGATGTGAGGACAAATTTTGTAGAGATGTCATGGCATACCATAGAAACCATTACGGCATGCCAATTAGGCTATTAGTGGGTGTGAACAATTACTTTCAGCATGCGTTCAACTATTATATGTGCTCGTGCGTCTATAGAGAAGGTCTGCAAGGTGAGAAGAGATTTATCTTGTAGTGGTGATGTGTAGAATTTTCCATTAGCTCCGTTTGTGTAGAGAATTTTCGAAGGTTTTTTAAGCGCTAGGCGTTGAGCGAGCGTTGTGCCTCCGCTTAGTTCAATGACAGCATAAGCGGCACCTGGGTGCTCTTAAGCATTATGTACGGACGTCATATGGACAGGAACAAGGGCACCCAAAATCAGTTTTCATAGCATGCAAGGCATGTATACCAAAAAGGGTTTCCCCTGCCTTTATATTATAAAGCAACTATCACCAATTACAACCGAGAGACCGATACAAACACACACCCAAGGCAATATACAAAGGTGTCGGGCACCGACACACCACCCCACCGACCACCAAGCAAACTACAGATGAGCGACGAAGACCACTTCGGGCCGACGGAGACCTCCACCATGAGCAACCACAATAGGGACGTGAGTTGGACAACAACGAAGCCAGGACTCAAAAGCGGTGCCTCCCAGAAGGGTACGACCATGGATAGCCGCCACCGCTCAATCCCGAAGATCAGGTTTTCACCCGGAGCAAGATGACAGGAGAGGGAACGCCACGACGGAGCCTTCAGGAAGGATAAGGCGTCAACGGCTGCCGCTACTGTCGGCCAGTCAAAGGACTGAGCAAGTGGTGTACCCCGGCGCTCACCCCCTTTGTCGCACCCTAGCTCTGTCAACCACCCGCAACCACGCCACCCGTGTGGCCATGGTTGCCCGCCTGCACCTTAGATGCACGCTCCACCCCCAAACGCCGCGCCTCCCACCGCCAGAGCCGCCGCCCTGCAACCAGACAACCCCGAGACCACACAAAGTCCCTGGCTTTGGCCCAACCGGTAGCCCCCGACCGATGGAGCCACAGCAGACGC